ATAAAGGAAATGAAAATGAAAATAAGAATAAGAATGATGAGGTTCCTTTGATTTTCAATTATTCAGGGAGAAATAGAGAATTGAAGACTATAATTAATAAGTATTGGTTTATTCTAAAGGAAGACCCTCTACTAGAACAGATAGTCCCAAAAAAAAAACAAGGATTATTTACAGAGGGACACCAAGTATTAAGAACCATTTGGTTAAAAGCAGCCTCAAACAGGAAAATCCAAGTAAGAACTTTCTTAATCAAGAATCAAGGTTTTTTCCAATGCGGGTACTGCTTGGCCTGTAGAACCACAGGAGCCCCCAAATGTTTTAAAAAGGAGCTGATAGAAGGAAATACACAACAAGTATATTGTGTTAAACAAGTGATAACCTGTCATACCACCAACTGTGTTTATGTCCTTACATGCCCATGCAACATGCACTATGTGGGTAAAACCACTAGACAAGTGCATGTCCGCAGTGAAGAGCATGTATGGAACATTTAAAGGGGCTTTAAGGAACATCCTCTATCCTCACATTTCATTCGTAAACATCAGGGAGATGTCACTAAACTGCAGTTTATTGGGATAGAAAGAGTAAGTAGGAATTGGAGGGGTGAAAATTTGGATAATAAATTAGCAAAGCAAGAGATGAGGTGGGTGTTTGAATTAAAATCATTGTCCCCTAGGGGTTTGAATGGAGAATTTGAAGGTTGCCATTTTTTATAAATATTTTTTTGTAATTATGTGTTTTTTCCTTCGTTCTTTCTTTAGTAGGCGCTTCAATCGATAGATATATGATTGTTGTTTAATGTGATCATGTATTGATGTTTTTACTTTACAAGAACATATAAATGTATACGAAAGTGTTCCTTACCAATGTCTATAGAATCGAATCGAAACATTTTATTTGTGAAGAAGATTTATATCATTATAAATGAGATGTCTAATGTTATATATATATTGCTGGAGGTGCCTCTGAAAAATATTGTGGAATAATTATTTTCATTGGGAAAATGTCATTGCCACATATTATTATTTTTTGGATTTTGTAATTTTTTTTCTAGTTTTTATTATTTTTTATTGTTTATCTGCCTCTTTAAAGTGAAAAGATGAGATCTTATTGACCCCGTATGGGTTAACATATATAATAAAACAGGAAGAAGTATTCCTTTAAGAGGTATAAGATTGGAGGTAAATATTCCTTTAAAGATGAGATCTGAATTCTTTTAAAACCACTGTATTCAGATATAGTTCTTTCTATATATGACAGTTCTCCATTGTATATGTTTTGTGTACATTTAAGGTGATGAGTTTACTCAGTTACCTATAGAGTACTAGACCCAAGGATATGTGGATTCTAATATTTAATTCTGTTTGTGTTTGTTTTTTATATTCTGTTCTTATACTGTGTCTAAATGAGATCAGCGTTTGAGCTGATATAAGGAGTTTAGCATGCTTCAATGTTTTTAAGTTTGCACATATGTAATCAATTCGTTAGTTGAATATGATCGTAATAACCACGCCCCCTGACCAATGGAGTGATAAGGGGGAGGAGATATTTACTTAAAAGGATGGCTGGAACTCCATGACGTCGTCGGAGGAAGCCTGTGGAGGCGGGCGAAACGCATCACACGGACGTCAGAGGGGCGGACCCGGAAGTGGATCACGTGATCGGATCGAAACCAGGAAGTGATTTGCACTCTATACTACTTTACATGCTTTTATGTGGGTGACTCTGCGAGTCTATACCCACTACATCTCAAGTAAGGGTTTTTAACTTTCTTATAAAATAAATTTGTCTGTTATATTATTCAATTGGAGGTCCTGCCCTTCTTTTTACACACAGTATAATTGAACGACCAGTGGATACACCTTTTGGAACGATCTCCAGCGTGGGGATATCCCCTCTCCAAAGGAGGCTTGCAAACCCAGATCAAGGGGTGATAGGGCTCTGGGATATGTGAGTTTTTTTCCCTTAGATTTCTTATTTTTCTCATCATTGTTTATTTAGATTGTCTGCACTATTATTTGTTTGTTTTTTATATTTACAGATTAGTTTAGCGCGCTTTATTTGGTAATTATTGTTTCTCCTTACACACTTTTGAGTGCATTGTTGGTTTAAGCGCTGCCATACTATCTGCACTATATCCCACAGCGCTTACACATTGGTTCTTTTTGTGTATTTATTTCACCAAAAAGATACATCAATCAGTTCAACAATAATGATAACACATATACTATTAAAGAATGCATAACTTGCCACACCAAGAATGTTATATACTTGCTCACCTGTCCTTGTGGTCTATATTATGTAGGACACACTGTAGGAAAATGCATACAAGGATAGGAAAGCTTATAGTCAACATTACCAGAGGGTACTTACAACATCAAGTCTCACTTCATTTTAAAGAATACCACAATGTAGACCCTTCAGTTTTAAAATTTCAAGGGATTCAAAAAGTAATATATAATTGGAGAGGTGAGGATTTTATTAAACAATTGGGATAGATGGAAATGAGGTGGGTTTTCTAATTAAATACCCTTATTCCGTCTGGGCTAAATAATGATTTCGAACTGTGCCACTTCTGGTTGAAATATCTACCATCTCCCTTACTCTGATTTAGATAGAATTTCCCCATTTTGAATTTTTATCAATCTCAAGTCTTTATATTATAAATTTTAAATATCTCTCTAATTTATTGATATTATATTATGTATTATACAAGGTGATGGGCATTAATCACTTTCCCCCTATAATCCCATATTTTTAATACATTTGCAATGCACATTTTAAATGTGGATTATTCACAAAAGTGTTTTCACTTTCTCCATTAAAAATGTTTTTTTCTTCCTCCCTAAATGCACAGAAGGTCTAATATATGTGTTTGTAGCTGTTAGCATTTGCCCAGTGAAGTTTTTTTATGCATGTTTTATGATGAGTTTAACAGGTTGAGTATATGGACTAATTATGTAAATCTGGACTGTGGATTTAACCAATCACAATCCAGTAAGGACACAGACTCTAGCCCATATATACTCATAAGCAAGATGGTGGAAATATCACTTTTATGTCCTGACAAAGCCAAACAGGCGAAACGCGTAGACGTAGTGATGTCATCCAGAGGGCGGAGACAAACTGAAAGTCCCGTGAACTTTGAAAGACCTCACCGCAAGTAAGCAGATTGAAAGACGTTTGCGCACTGCAAGGAACACCTTATTGGAAAGCCAGGGGACTGGAGAACAGTTTACCCCGTGGGGGAAAATCGGATCACGGCTCGGAACAATGACAATCTTATAGTTCGACTGCATATGGTCATTAAATTCGAGCTTGTAAGAGGCTTTAAATAGAATTTTATCACATGACAGTTCGTCTATTCGTACGCAGAACGCCTGCGCCTTTTATGGGCGCTCGCGTTCAGGTAATTCCCTGCAATTCCTTTTTTGCCACCCTAGCTCTAGCATTTCAACTGCTTTTCAGTCCGGCGGCCATTTTAAACGGCTACTGCTGCTTTGTTACAGACTCCAGCTACTTCTCTACCAGGTACTCTGGAACACTCTTTTAAAACTCTGCCTCCTTCTCATAGCTCACAGTGGGACCAGGTCAGGTTAGTGCATTGCACTTGGGGTTGGTTTAAGCCAGTTGGACTATAATTTAATCTGGCCAGGGTGAGCCCCCAATCATGTGCTGCTGAATGGACCTGTCCATGCAAGATTCCGATTTCCTGGTTGAGCCCCAGTAACACAACCCTCTCACTACCTTACTTGACCTACCAGTCACTTATCCTCTCAGGTTAACCATTGGAAGGTATCCACCTTCTCCGGGACCTGCTTCGAGACAACGACTGGTTCACGCGTCTAGACCTCCTGGTGCACGAACGGAGCTGCTCCTATCTCCGTTTCTACTGGCACGGGACACCCTGGCAATTCACCTGCCTCCCGTTTGGCCTCAGTTCGGCCCCGTGGTGTTTCACCAAGATGATGAAGCCAGTAATGGCGAAACTCAGGGCCCACGGCATAAGATGCATCATTTAACTCGACGACATTCTGATCTTCGATGAGGATGCAAGGACCCTAAGGAGGCACACAGACTACACGGTACACCTACTCGAGTCACTGGGCTTCGTTATCAACCGCCCCAAGTCTTCAATGATCCCGGCTCAGTTGGTCCAATTTCTTGGATTCGAGATAGACTCCACATCGTGCACTCTACGCTTCCCGGCCGCAAAGATTGCTGCCATCCGCAGAAAAGTCCTTCGACTGACATCCATACCCCTACGGCTACTGGCACGGATCGTGGGCCTTCTCTCATCATCCATCCAGGCCATTTTTCCCAGACCCCTGCATTACAGAGCCATGCAACGCCTCAAGGCCAAATTCCTTCGCAAAAACCCAACATACGACCAACCGGTCCCTATGTCTTACGAGGTTCGGGAGGAATTGCACTGGTGGCTGAACTGCATGCAGGCCTGGAACCAGCCAGACTTCGTGCTGGAATCAGACGCCAGACGCTCAGGCTGGGGAGCAACAGACGGAACCTCCTCCACGGGAGGAGTATGGACCCCCCAAGAACTTTCGATGCACATCAACTGTCTGGAGCTACTGGCAGGATCGTTCGCCATACGCAGGCTGGTGAAGGAACGATCCAACTGCTGCATCTTGCTCTGGATGGACAATGTCTCAGCGGTAAGATACATCAACCACCTCAGGGGCATGCGTTCCCAAGCACTAGTAGAACTCACGAAGGAAATCTTCGATGATTGCCTACCACGCAACATCATGCTGTTAGTGGAACATCTACCGCGAGAATCCAACATGACAGCGGATTGGTACTCACGCCACTGGCGAGACGCCAGTGACTGGCAACTAGATCGGCATATTTTCACGATGCTGGATGCACAGAGGGGCCTGGACTCTTTCCGGGGTTCCTGGCGAACCGAGGACTTATCGCAGGAAACTATGGGATTCATGGGTGCTACTTATTAGCATGGCACTCCTGGACAACTTGGTGTCTGGGACGGGATCTCAATCCCTTTACTGCACCTATTCCCTCCATCATGAATTTCCTCACCTCCCTATTCACAGCCGGAAAATCATACCGATCTATCAATGTGATATGTTCAGCCATTTCAGCGGCCCACACGCCGACTCAAGGGACACCTGTTGGTCAGGACCCACTCATCTGTAGACTCCTCCGCGGCATGCACCTTCGGCGCCCCCCGGAACCCAAATACTCAAGACTTTGGGACGTTGGCATTGTCTTACAGTTTTTACGGGACTGGCCTCCTAACGACAAATTATCACTCCGCCAGCTTACGGCGAAATTCACCTTCCTGCTCTGCCTGGTCTCCTTTCGTCGGGTGTCCGATGTATGCGCTTTTGACGTCGACGCATTTACCTTTAGCCCAGCGGGGGTAACCTTCCAGGTCTCTAGACGCACGAAGTCCGACTCTTCCTTTGTCTTTTATCCCTTTTTTTCCTCAGACACTCCAAACACCAACATCACTTAATCTTCGTGAAGTGTTTTTTTTTTTTTTTTGTTTTTTTTTTTAATTTGACCATGTAAACCATTGCAGTTTCTGAGTAACAGCAATGTTTACCTTTGTCTGAAACTACACCTTTTAATAGTTGTGGAGTGTTTTTTGTTTTTTAAAAAATATATTTTATATTTCTGCGTGGTCTCTACTCTCCGTTAATACGTGGAAGCTACTGCGACGTTGCGGCCTACTTCCAATCGTCAACTTCTCATCTCTTACGTCCGCCTCTACGGTCCAGTCTCGGTCACTACGTTGGCCAGATGGGTTAGATGGCTCTTAGCCCTTGCCGGGATAGACCAAGCTTTTGGAGCACACTCCGTTCGCGGGACCGCGGCCTCTTCCGCATACGCGGCAGGTGCCTCCCTTCCAGATATTTTACGAGCGGCAGACTGGACTAGAGAATCCACCTTTAGGACGTTCTATTTCCGTCCTCCATCTAATCCAGCTTTTGCTCTACTTTTTCAGCATTGAAATTGCAAAATACGAAGCCTCCTGTCATGTGATAAAATTGAAGATTATGTTAGCTTTAGTGTACTAATAATCTCAATTTTAATAATGACATGAGGCGAGTATTTTCCCTCCCTACTCTCTTTCGTTCTTCCCTCCCTCTGTTTTTCTTATATACCTATAGCATTTGTTTCTTCTTTTACTGTATTAGTGTCTAAATTTTGCCCATCAAGGACTTAATGCATATATTCAATGTGGGTGGGCTATTTAATTAGTACTGTTAGACGGGAGGACGTTATTGTTTTTACTCATTAATCTTAAGGGATAGATATTCATTGCTTTTACACAACCATTTTTGGAATCTAATACATTTTATATTCTCTTTTCAGCTTAATCGGAAACCACAAGGGACTATTAAAGACTCCGTTCAAGGTTTCATCATCATTACGTCATTGAAGATCATCGTTTGAACTCAAGACGTCCTAATTTGGATCTCTACCTGTTTCCTGTTCAAGTTATTCATGTTTATTCTATGATTATCCTGTATTATGGACTTGTGATGTCGCACTAGTTAAGAGGAAATGATGTAATATGACACGCCTCTTATACCCTATGCTGCATTGTGATTGGTTCTCAGTTTTGACTCTTTTCTTTGCTGCTATGGGAGTTAGTAAAGAAAGATTATGCAAAATACTTGCCTCCTGTCATTATTAAAATTAAGATTATTAGTACACTAAAGCTAACATAATCTTCAATTTGATGTGATATTGTTTTTTAAGCTGTACTGTTTTTTTAAACTATACTATAAATTTTTAGTGTATGATTATAATACGCGCTCTAGTCGGACATAAATTGGGATAGAGGGACTAGTATTTCAGCAAGGGGAATCAGGTTTTTGAATGTGTTAAATGAAACCTTTATGCCACAACTGGTACAAGCACCAACCACAAAGGATGCTTGTATGGATTTCATTATAACAAACAATGTTGATCTTTTAACCAACATTCAACTAAGGGAGCATTTGGGAAATAGTGATCACAATATGGTAATTTTTTAAATAAACTCAAAAAAACAAAAGCATGTGGGGTGCACTAAAACGTATAATTTAAAAAAAGCCAATTTCAATAAGGTTAGCGCAGCTCTACAACATATCGACTGGCATAAACTCCTTTATTTCTCAGTATGTACCATTGGGTAATAAATATAAAAGAAATAAATTAAAACCAATGTGGCTTAGTAGAGAAGCAAAACAAGAGATTACAAATAAGAAAAGGGCATTTAAAGCATTTAAATCGGACAAATCCGAGGCATCCTATTTAAGATAAAAGGAAGCCAATAACGCCTGCAAAAAGGCAATTAAAGTGGCTAAACTAGAAAATTAGAAATTGATAGCTAAAGAATGCAAAACCAACCCCCAGATTTTTTTTCAAGTACATCAATTCTAAAAAAACTAAAAATTTAAAACAGAGATGAGTCTGTTAGTTAATGAAGACCAGGAAAAGGCAGAAATTTTAAATAACTATTTTTCTTCAGTATATATTAATGTGGATCCTATGGCAAGAGATATGCAAATGGGTGCTGCAAAAAACTTGCAGATAATTTGTAATAGGATGACTTGAGACAAGCTGCTTCAGCAGTTTAAAAAAATGAATGTAAATAAAGCTCCGGGGCCTGACGGTATTTACCAACGAGTATAGAGCTATGGAGCTATGTGGGGAAATAAGTGAACCTCTGTATTTAAAGGAACACTATAGTCACCCAGACAACTTCAGCAATTTAATGTAGAGAAATGCAAAGTTATGCACTTCGGGGTTAAGAATGCACAAGCAACTTACACACTAAATGGTGGGGGAATTTTGGATAACCACACACGAGAAGGATTTGGGAATTGTTATAAACCAGTAAGGTTTTGTCATGCATGAAAAAGGGCATTAATTCTCAAGATGAAAATATAATTTTGCCTCTTTATAAATCGTTGGTAAGACCACACCTTGAATATGCTATGCAATTTTGGGCCCCTGTTCTAAAGAAGGATATTATGGCACTAGAAAAAGTCCAGAGACAAGCTACAAAATCAATAAAAGGAATGGAGCATTTTAGTTACAAAGAAAGGTTAAAAAAATTAAAATCTGTTTAGTTTGGAAAAACAGCACCTGAGAGGGGATATGATAACATTATACAAATATATTTGGGGTCAGTACAAACCTTTATCTGGAAATCTATTCGTAAACAGGGCTATACATAGGACACAAGGTCACACATTTAGGCTGGAAGAAAGGAGATTTCATCTAAGGCAAAGAAAAGGTTTTTTACAGTAAGAGCAATAAGGATATGGAATTCTCTGCCTGAAGAGGTGGTTTTGTTGAAGTCACTACAGAGGTTTAAACTGCAATTGGATAAATACTTGCAATAACATAACATACAGGGATATAATTTCTAAGTATTATTATTATTATTGGTATTTATATAGCGCCAGCTTATTCCACAGCACTTTACAATAAAAAGAGAATTTACCAAATGAGACAATAATTAGTGGGGTAATAACTGCTTGATCCAAGGAGACATCTGACTGCTATTTTAGGGTCAAGAAGGAATTTTTTCCTAGTTTGTTGCAAAATTGGAAGCACTTCAGACTGGGATTTTGCCTTCTTTTGGATCAACAGCAACAACATATTTGACATACTTGAAAACGAGAGAAATCTCAATGCATCCTTCCTGGTAAAATATTTTATAAATAAATTAATTAATTAATAAACATGTGAGGTAGGCTGAACTTGATGGACGCAAGTCTCCTTTCAGCTATGTAACTATGTAACTATGTAACTCTGCAACTGTGTCAGTGTGTATGCATAAGTTTCACACCCCTTCATTTAAACATCAATACTACACACAAATTTACACCCACATTTAAAAAAGCCATCATTGTATACAAACACACCTCTGCATTCAAACGCAAACATTACATAGAAGTACACCACCGTATTCCAATGGGAACAGTACATACAAATACACGCACGCACACACACACTCCATATAAAAACATGATTGCATTCAAAAACACAAACACCGCTCACAAATACAACCCTGCAAGGATTGGCAAATGGTAGATCCCCAGCTGATATAGCATTGTTGGAGTTTTGCGACAAATGGGGATCTACATTTTGGCTAAGCTTGTGCTAGAGGAGGGCCCAACAAAAATTATTGCCAGGGCCCTCAAGTCATTAGGTCTGCCACTGCTTGAGGCACATTACTGTCTGAGGTCTGATGTTGGATTCCTGCAGATTACAGTACAGAAGGTCTGCAGGAAGCACAAGGGCGCACTATGCTGCATTCAAGAAAGAAGTCTGGCTGGCCATTGGGCAGCAGCAGTGGGTCTGAGGCAGCCAAGGGGATGGCCTGCTGCAAATTAAGCTGCTTTCTGTTCCCCCAGAGTGTTGGTTTTGGTGAGCAGCTGCAAGCAGCCACCAGACCAGAGGTGCCAGACTGCAGCCAGCGATCATCATCATCTTGTCCTTATCTGGTGGTAAGTAGGCAATCTAATATTGTATTAGTGCCACTAATCTCTAATTTACCTCACATTAAAGGGACACTATAGTCACCAGAACCACTACAGCTTAACATAGTTGTTCTGGTGAGTATAGCCTGTCCCTGCAGGTTTTTCAATATAAACACTGCCTTTTTTTACATTGTGCATAGGGACACCTCCAGTGACAGTCACTCAGACAGCCACTAGAGGTGCTTTCTGGGTCAGTGCTGCACAACACGGAGCACTGGCATTAAGCGCCTTCATGAACGTTCACCCTGAAGAAGATGCTGATTGGTGCAGTGTTTTGCAGCGCATGCGCAACAGCCTCCTAATGCATTCCTATAGGAAAGTATTAGATTGGCTGAAATCTTTTGGATGGGGGAGGGGACACACACCTAAATCGTTTTTTTACACTATTGTGTCAGGAATACATGTTTGCTTTCCTGACACTGTAGTGTTTCGTTAAGCTGCTCACCACCAGCACTATTTTAGATCTTCTGGCTCTTGGGATGATGTAGTGAAGGCAGGGCCAGGTAAGTTAAGAGGTCAAACAGTTCTAATACAGGTTAACTACTTACATTGGGGGGAGGGGGCGAAAGTTATTTAGCCTTGTACTGCAGAGAACTCCAGATGGATTTTTTCCCCCAATTAAGTAGCTCATTTAGCAGACATTAGGCTGTTAGAGTAGGACCTTCCAAAGATGGGGTACATTGACGGTGTGGCAGGCTTATGCAATGTATGATCACCCCCATTATTTTTGCCTGGATAAGGTGCTTTTAAAAAAACTAACACAATCTGTTAGCACCGAAGTTGCTGTTTAGTGGATAAGGGAGTGTGATAGATTTTCTTTTTTTATTGTATAATTGATCACCTGTCACACAAATTTTCTGGAAAATTACACCCCTGACCAATACATCTCCAAAGACAAGCGCCTTTTGAAGGGAAGATGGGTTTCCAAGCAGTACATTCCATCTAGCGTGCTCGTTATGGGATAAAATGTTATAAAATGTGCAAATATAACACTGATTAAACCTGGGCATTTTACATTTATACATGTATGTACGTAGCGGGGAATGTGGTGCGACTAAGAGTAAGGAGACTACCCCAATTCTCCCCCCAATAATGACAAACAACGAATATTGGATGAAACAGGCCACAGCATTTATTAAACTTACAACTGTAGGACTCATCTGAACTTTATTCTTTTTCTTTAATTCAAATATAAAAAAACAGATAAATATATATACATACCATAATTAACATATAAATTACACTTATTGCCCTACAGCCTCCAACTTAAATAACCGTCCTTGCCAACGATCTTAACCAGGTGCCTATGCACCAAAACTTTACCCACTGGTGTCTCGCCTCCCCCCTCGTCCAAACCAAAAATTCCCATCATCTTAAATACTCTACCACCAGCCGGCTTTTTGCTCGATGGGCACGTCTGTAACAGACTGTTTTGCCCACAAGAGGTTAAAACTTGTTTAGGCGATATTCCCCTTTTTCAGATGCACAGACAGCTACTGCAATCACCACTCTCCCGAGCTGCAAACACACTAATACTGGAAACAGCCGAATAGGAAAAAGCATGCGAATAGGTTTACACTCCTAGCAGTCAAACTGGAACAGCATACACTAAATCCTCCCCCCAATAATGAGACGACACTTCACTTTGAGGGTTAAGCAGGAACTCTCCTGTAATGGCCACACACTGGCTTTTATGCAAGTCCCCATACAAGGGGACATCCCACAGGGTGGGACACAGTACAACCAATCGTTTACAGGAGAACCGTAAAACACACCCACAATTACATCACAATCCCTCCTCTCTGTCCTGGAGATAATTGTAAAGTAATCAAATTATCTCCCAGGACAGAGGCAAGACTCCATTAACCACATGGCAGTAACAATACAATAAAAGGCATAAAATTACATACAGTTACATTTATCACATAGAACATACACATTCTACCTATCCCCAGATAGCTTAGATCTGTGCGCACATTACTACCGGATGGCGCTCAGATCACGTACATACAGTTCAATCGCCATGGAGCCAAAGTCTTTCATACAGTCTTTCAGTATACGGCTGGGCTCCATGGCATAGCTATCTGGGGTAGCATGGCTTTAACAGTCTGCAGAAAGGCACAAATAAACCTTTCTGCCGGTAAAATAAAAGTTTAAAATGCAGGACCATAATCTAAATGGAGCAGGCGAGCAACCAGGCCTCTCCAGTGGACAGTGGAGAGGTTGGTTCCGCCACAACATCCTATTCGGTAACTTAAAAATTTACCTTACAGAGCAGAGGAGGTTGAGACCCACCATGTCCATCTCCTGACATTCCATCTGCTCCCCAACCCTGTTGGCAAGGACACGCTCCCCGCCACAAACCCCGCTGTTTTAAACCTAAAATCAGCGGGGAGCCCCACCAAAACCAACCAGGCCTGTTCCACCACTTTCTGCATGGCAAGACGAAAAAGGTCTAGCCGGACCTTCATCACCCAGAAACACAGTAGCTGCCACATGCGCGACAACACCCTGTGGCAAACCAAAATCCCCTTACCTTCAAACACCTCGGAAGGCCCTCCAATTTTGCTTCATACGGCAGCGTACCATGCACTGATTATGGGCCCGCTGCCAAAAGATACGGGAATTGACCTCCGACCAATTGGGGATATTTATTGATTCTTTTCTTTTTTTCCTAATTTTTATTTTTTTATTTTATTTAAAATCGTTTTATTTTTATTTATTTTTTTTAGAACTGCTTTGTTATAACATACGACAAGTCCTGTATAACACATCCAGAACTTATTATAATAATCTCTATAATCATAATCTCTCTTCTTTTCTGAAACCAAAACGTTAAACATAAATAACCATAACTTAACATATATAACTTAACACACAGGGTCATACAGTGAACCCAACACCACGCATCACGAAAGAACTAAAACACGCACCAATACCCTCTTAGGGGCAGACGCCAAAAAACCACCTTGGTATCGTCCCAAGCTCAATGCCCGCCAGGTGGATAACCCGAACATTAGGGACAGGTGGGACAGCTGAACCTGCTCCGGGAGGAGCCGAACACATTTCATACCTCCGACACCAAACCAACAAACATCCGCTTCAGAAGGCACATAACGCAAAAGCTCACCTCCCAGACGGACAACCGCATCTCACCTGGGAGTATAACCAGGAAAAGGACATCCAGATATTATCTGTTTTCCAAGTGCACCCTGGGAATTGTTACTTGTACCTAAGGAACTGGTACTCATTTATCTACCTCAAAGGAATGAATAGATGAGCCACCGCCGCTGAGAATTGAACCCGAACCCCCCCAAGGATTGAACAAATTCCACAAAACCAACATTACTTCACCGACACATCTCACCATACCCCCTCCCAGTTCTTTGCACCACGTGCGCTGACAAACCCATTCTAAAAGCCTCCAAGGCAGCGCTAAACCGAAAGGAATGACACAAGATTCTTTGCTGACAGTCCCCAGAACCATCAGACTTGAGCGAAAGACCCAAAAATTGGGAATAGGAAAGAAAAATAAAAATAAATCACATCCGCATAACTCAAAAGAGGGCCCGTGCATACTGGGCGCAGCTCACAGTTCTCTACAAAGGAAAAGTGCAACAGCCGAACTGCCATACCCTTCCTGAAACAACATTCGACCTAGATTGTCAAACACTTATAGTGATATGATCTGCAGGGCGCCGACTGGCGGCAAACAATACCCCACCACCGCATGGCCTACTAGGATCACCAAAACACCAACATTCACGGCCCCCAGGAGCATAGCGTCCAGGTGGCCATGGAAACCGATCTACGGACCCATTCCGTCACTCTGCCAGACTGTCCGCCGGGCAAGGCGTCCCCTCCAGATCCGCCTGCGAGGCAATTGCCCCTTAAGCGAGGGAAGGAGGCTGTGAGCCGAGTAATGGCTTGAACAACCCCCAAATTGTCGCAGTGAAACACTACCCTTAGATCCTGAAACGTGACTGCCAGACCTCCCCCACCACCAAAATGGGGAAATGCTCCAAAAAGCCCAGATTCTTTGTGAGCCCAGAGACATGCCAACTGTCCGGCCACATGGGAGCACACCAATTAGAGCCCAGAATGGCCCCAAACCCCACCGCGACAGCTACGTCCGTAAATAGGTGGAGGTCGGCGTTAGAAACCTCCGGCCTTTGCCAGCAGGACCGGCCATGATATGCAGCTAAGAAGGACTCCCAAAATCTCCCACAGCAACCGAATGAGCCGAATGAAATAGCGAGGCCTGGAGACCACAGCTGTCGCTGTAGCCAGACGCCGGTTAAAGACCCGCCCCACGGGCATGATCCGACAGGCAAAATTCAGCTCACCCAGGAGTGACTGCAGGCAGCGCAGCTGAATATCGCGCCGCCCCATGGCCAAGGCCCCTTTGCGCTGCCAGCATTGAATCTTATTCAAAGGCCAGCGGCAGTCCCACGCCAAAGAGTCAATCTCAATGCCCAGAAAGCTGAGAAAGTGACCGGGTCCACCGTCTTGCCGTGTGCCAAGGGACCCCAAACTAATGGAACACCTCACCCAGAACCCGTCGCAGCAGCGAACAGGCTGTCGAATCGGCAGGACCCACACAAATGAAATGATCGAGGTAGTGTAGCAAGGAGACTATACCAGCCTCTTCCCTCACCACCCAGTCCAAGAACGTGCTGAAGCATGCAAAGTAACAACAGGATATGGAACTACCCATAGGGAGGCACATATCCACTTAATACATGCCTACAAAAAACACAGCCCAGAAGATGGTAACATCCCAGGTGCACTGGCAGTAGACGGAAGGCCGAATCCACATCAGCCCTGGCCCAACAAGGCCCCAGGGCCCATGGCCCTGACCATATCAACCGCCACATCAAAGGATGCATAAGATACCCGTCAGAGTTCCCAAGAGATGTCGTCATTCACCAAACACCCCCCCCCCGGGGGTACGATAAATAGTGAATCAGACGGTATTTGTCCAAAACCCATGCTCAACCCATCCAGTAGGATGCCAGCCACCCAGCAATTTCTATAAACTGGAGAGCCAAGGGCGCATCGCACTCATGACCACTGGCGCCATCGCCCTCTGACCCCAAATCCCCAAGTGGAACATTCGTGCTGGAAACAGCAAGATGCCTCCCATTTGCAGTGACTGTCGTTGAATTTCAACAACAGCCCAGCCTCCGATGCGCGGCCGGTGAGGAGGAGGACCCCCCCACCACCCCCCTGAGAAAGGACGAGAACGCACCCTGCTGGGGGACAATGTAGCTCACAGTGGAGGGCCAGAGGCCAATGTCAATCTGTTCCCACAAAATTGAGGGGCGCACCGCCAACTGTTGACAGAACTGCTCGTCATATTTCCACCATGCCAGACTGCCATAGGTACGACAAGCGTTCCAAATGGTATCCTGGTAGCAGAACAATGTGGAGCACTTCTGCTGAGCCCTTTCCCCAGTTACTCTGGCCAGGATTGCGCAAGTCATAGGGATCTTCAGGTACTGGTATTTCTCCTTGTCTTTTTTTTTTTTTTGATTCCTACCCGTCCTTTTCCATTAAAGGAGGAGCCTCCTCCATGGGAAGGAGGGAAAAATCTCAACAAAGTCTCCCCTCCAAATTTTTTACGAACCTCCTGTTGAAGGTGCAAGCCCAAGGGCCCTGACCAACACATAGGCGGACCCACGCGAAACGGCAAACCTGGGGGTTCGCCTAATTCTAGGGACCCCCTAGCAGCAGCAGGGGTGCCAGCATGCACACCCACTCCAGGAGAGGGTAACAGCGTGACCCCAAAAACAGTCAAAAAAACCCTGTGGCTGCAGCGCTGGGGACCACACTAACCGGAGCTGACCATCTAATGGGGGGACTCTACCTGCTTGCGCACCCTGCTCCCTTTATTTTATTTATTTATTTTATTTATTTATTTTTTATATATATATTTATTTTTTTTGACGGATCAAGAAAAAACCCCAGCGGGGAACCCCTGGACTGAAAAGAAGAAACATTAGTGAACTCACCAGCCGATGCCCGAGGAACCTCCCGCGGCAAAGGAAATGAAGATGATCCAGGCAGGACAGAGTTAACTTCATTTTCAGCACTGCTCAGCCCAGCAGCAGCACCAGGCGCCATCTGCTGGCCGGTCCCAGGAACTGCAGCCAGATCCTGTGTGAAGAGCCATGGAGAGGAGCTCACACCCGCAGAGGAGGGCAGCCGAGGTAAGTACCCAGGGGGGAGCAGGGGGGACATAGGGACCAGGAATAGGGACAGGAGAGGGGGGGGAGGAGGGAGGGAGACAGAGAGAGCCAGGAGAGGGCTTAGAGAGAGGAAGGCCACCCAGCACAGCAGGAACAGGGGAGGAGGAAGGAGGGAGACAGAGAGAGCCAGGACAGCAGCAACAGGGAGGAGGTAAACCAAGGGAGAGGGGACTCCAGAGGAAGAGGGGTCAAGGGGGGAGGGAGGAATTGGGACAGAACCCGGGGGGAGAGGGGGACCCCCCCGGCTGACCCCCATCCCAAGAGGAGCCATCAGAGCCCCCCCAGCAGCAGCACAGCCATGCCCCACGTGGCCCTGAGGGGCCCACTCACCATTACTGGCCCGGCTCTGGATCCTCCGTGCGCTGACCACGTGGGGGCTGGGAAGGCCTCCCAGACCCCCCAGGATGCAGTGTAGGTCTTCTGGCACCCCTGGCCTGCTGTCCAAGGCCGGGGGGTGCGTGGGGGGCGGCAGTAGTAGCAGGCCGCGTGTCAGATGGAGCAGATGGAGCTGACACATGGGCCTGGTGGTGCCTCAGGCCTGAAGGATCAGGGGTCAGCCGAGCTCCGGCCCATGCTCCTGAGGCCTACAGGGGCAGTAGCCGCGTGGGAGGCCGAGGAGAGGCCTGACCGCGGGGGGGGTGAACCCACACCGGCAGGCAGGCCAGGCTGGAGGGGAGCACATTGCTCCTGAAGGTGCTGCCATCATCCAGGACAGCAGCAGCTCTGAGGGCAGCAGGATTGAATCCACAGCTATCCCTCAAGCTGGAAAAGCATGCCGGCCCAGGACAAACAGGAGGGAGGGGGCAGGGGAGGTGTTTGCTGGCCTGAATCCCAAAAGGCACTGAGGTAAGATGATCCCTGCCCCACTACAAACCCATAACCACTCCCCTAAACACATATAGCCAATCACTAGCACCATCCCCACACTCATACATGTGTCCTTGTCCGTTTATCTATGCTGACTCCCCAGGGCCTGGAAAAGAAGGTCAGCTAGATCCACCAGACTGCCCTGATTCTGTGGGGACAAACGGCAAAATTTTTGGCATCTCCTCCTTCAGACGCTATCTGATATTGCAAGGAACATTTTAACTCACTAATATTTTTGTAAATTGTGAATCAAAAATCTGGAAGGTTAAATTTACATTTTTTAAATAAATTCTTTTTAGAAATCACTGAACAACTATTTTTTTTTTATTCGACATTTATGTGAGTATGTTGAGTGTACAGTACTCCATCGTTTGCCATTTTGCTGGGGGGAAGAGGTGGGGCACTTTTTAATTAGTTTTTTAGGCTGCTGTATGCTTCTAGTGTCTTACAAATATTTGAATAGATAATGGTAATGTAAAGCTTCCTCGCTGTAATGTCTCCAGCTTAGAGGTGTACTTAGGGTGCCTGGATTCCTCTGTTTTTTGACAAAGACCAGAGGGATTGCACAAGTAGGCTCCTAACACCATTATCACTACAGTAAGCTACATAGTAGCCAACTGCAGGGACATATTTGCCGCGAGGCAAACAAGGCATTTGCCTTTGGCTGCAAAACTAAGAATCCATGACGTCATATTCCGGCTCCCAGCATCACTCTGCGGCGCAAGAGGGAGCTGAGCAGAGACAGCTTACTATTCAGTGCTCCCTCGCCAGGGCCCCCCGCCCACATGGATTCTTAGTTAGCCGCCCGCCTGGGGACACCAGGTAAAAAAAAATGGTAAGGAGGCTGGGTTGATTTAAACTAAAAAAAAGTAATCGGTTAATGTTTTGGGAGGGTAGGGTAGGAGAGGAGAGGGGGGGCTGTCAGTGTGTGTATGTCTGAATGATTGTGTGTGTCTGGCTGTCAGTGTGTGTATGTCTGTCAGTGTGTGTATGTCTGTCAGTGTGTATGTCTGGCTGTTGGTGTGTATGTGAGTGATTGTGTATGTATGTCTGTCGGTGTGTATCTGAGTGATTGTGTGTGTCTAGCTGTCAGTGTGTGTATGTCAGTATGCATGTCTGGCTGTCAGTGTGTGTATGTTTGTCAGTGTGTATGTCTGGCTGTCAGTGTGTGTATGTCAGTGTGTATGTGAGTGATTGTGTGTGTATGTCTGTCAGTGTGTATCTGAGTGATAGTGTGTGGCTGTCTGTCAGTGAGTGTGTGTGTGTGTGTGTGTGTGTTTGTCAGTGAATATGTGTTTGTTTTTGAGTGATTGCATCTGTGAGGGCGCCTGTGTGTCTGAGTGAATGTGTGTGATTGTGTCTGCGTTATTATGTGTGTATGTCAGTGATTGTGTGTATGTCTGTGAGTCAGTGATTGTTTGTGTCAAATCAGTGTGTGTATGTCAGTGTATCTAAGAGTGTGTCTGTCAGTCAAAGTGTGTGTTAGTTGTTTAACAGGAAGAGGTGTGGCATTGACAGGAAGGGGTGGGGCAAATGTAAATTAGGGGATGCCGAGTTCTATCATGCCTAGAGCAGCACATATACTAAATACTTTTTGGGGCTGAAAAATGAAGATTTGAGAAAAAAGAAGACGTCGAATGGTAAGTTTACTTTTATTTTACAGGTTAGTTATTTTATTTCCCCCTCACTATTTTTTAGGGTGAGGGGGGTAGGTAGGGACTTTTTATTTGGGGGGGGTGACTA